TGTGTGTGTGTGTGACAGGAAGAGCTACACCTTCACCCCCACCACCTTCATCCTCATCTCGTTATTCCCCCCATTCCCACTCATCCTTCTCACCCAACGCTCTCCCCTTCCCTCCCATTCCATCCCCTCTTCACTCCCTCTCCCTCTCCCTCATCCCTATCCCCTTCTTATTCCCGACCTCTCATCCCCACAAAACCTTTCCTCTTGATAACTCCCGCTCCATTGCCCATAGTTAGCAGGGTGGGTGGTTTGCGAGTGCTCTGAAGTGGTTTGCTCCTTCTATCAAATCAAACATCTATCGTCCTTATCTCTCCTCCTTTAGTGTGTATGTTACTCTCTTGTAACACCTCTATTCTTCGGCACTTATATGACATTATTGTGTTGCGGGTGCCGTAAAACTCTTACTAAAACTAAAAACAGTTAGCAGTACCGACGCCTCAGTCAAAACCTCACTGGGTGTGGTACTACCACTGATGTGTCCTTAGAGGGCATCATAATGCAAAGTTTGTAGTTGCAAGAGCTATAGTCTCAACGGATTTAACATAAAATTTAAAATAAACATAATAATCATTTTAATGGGTTTTGTTCTTTTGCATACTCCATGCTTAATCACAGTTGACTACTTTCTGCGACATATCTCTAGGTACCTATTGATAGAAACAATCTAAGCAATAATATGTAAGCATCTGGTCTGTTTTTCACTAATTGGCCTCATTTTTGCTGATTAAGAATGTGGTAATTACTTTCTCTTGATTTTTAACCACCAAGTTTGACCGGCTGAGGGAGTTCTAGAGGCTGTAAAAAACATTGTTTTTAATAGTTTGAAAGTGTGAAGTGCTGGGCAGAGTTATCTAATACGGGGTATCCACTACGGATATGATCGGCTGATCGGGCCGACCGCCCGACTCGGTCGCCTCAAGTTTCAAGGTTTGTTCGTGCTTGACACGAATCTGTCCTCTCAAAAGCGAGTAACGCCCATTCACGATCCCTGGCATGATAAATGTATAGCAGAGATTATTTTAATTTTCACACTAACTTAAGCTCTTAATTAAGGTGCGGCTAGACATTGAGTAACCTTACTTTTTCCTGTCACTGAGTGTGTTCCCTGACAAATTATTACTCATAAAAGCAAAGTAGACCGAGTTCAGAAAAGTGTCTGAATTTCCCAGCCTCGAGAAAGTTTTGAACTAACATCAGTAATGACGTATTCGGATTAAAGTGGCAGAGTCTACCGACCGTAAGCAAGGACCATGATATTGCGCAGTCGAAAAATTGTTGGAATGATCTTTTAAAAATGAAACTTTATTCAAAACGTCAATTAGCAATAAGTCCTACTTCATTTCCCGAAATGAGGTATTCATATTAAACATCTTTATTTCCCCAAATTGGTCATTCTCTTTTGATAGACGGTCAAAGTTTATGGATATAATTATCCATATTTTGGTGCGTATGTGTTTTTAATCTTGAAATACTGGTTTGATACTTTTGTCTGACAGCATACCATGAAATACTTTTATTTTTTCCTTCTTCATAAAACCAAAGACCTCTGCTGTGTCTGCTGCTTCAATGTTGTGCTCTGAGACTTGGACGCTCGTCTGCTGCCGGTGTCACGTGGTGTCTCACGTGGGCTCTCGGGCGTCTCACAGAAAGCGTTGACCTTGGCACAAATGTCCTGGAACTTCGTCTGCTCCCGCTCCAGACGGTCCTTCAACAGCAGGCGGTAAAACAAACCTCGCTCTTCAATTTCGTCATCGTCAAAGTAGCGAACCTGCGTTGAGCGAATGTTTATTTGTTTTATGGCCGGTCAAGATGTCAGTATAGAACCTAATAACTCTTAGCGGATGCAAACAAAGAAGCAAAACACTCTTACGCAGCTCAGAGCTCTGGAATAATAGCCAATAAATGCGTGTGAAAATATGAGGTCCAACGCAGTAAGCCAAAATATGCCCATGCAAATATTGACAAAAACTTTAAGTGAGCTAATTGACTTCTAAAAGCTACCCTAGACCAGTATCATTCTTTAGCTTTAAAGTATATACCTTGTTTCGTTTTTTGTAATGATTTCCTCAAACTTGATTGTTTTCTTTACTTTGATAAAGAAAGGCGAAGAGACCATGAGGGTTATTATAATAACACGGTGCAGAGAAAATGAAAGCCCCAAAGGAAAAGTAAGCCAACAAAAAAATGACAAATAAAGGGATCTTCGACGTTGATTGAAATCAACTCCAATAAAATGAAGTGAATGCTAAAGAAACTCTTTACCTGTCTTGGCTTTTGTATAAGCTCTCTTGACAAGACACTCGAGAATAACATTGCAGATTAAGTTAGCTTTTAAACTGTTCTAATTGAAATTGAACTAGATTACCCCCCCTCTCCCTCTCTCTCTCTCTCTCTCTCTCTCTCTCTCTCTCTCTCTCTCTCTCTCTCTCTCTCTCTCTCTCTCTCTCTCTCTCTCCCTCTCTGTCTCTCTGTCTCTCTCTCTATCTATCTCTCTCTTTCTCTCTCTCTTTCTCTTTCTATCTCTCTCTCGTCCTCTCTATCTATCAATCTATCTATCTATCTATCTATCTATCTATCTATCTATCTATCTATCTATCTATCTATCTATCTATCTATTTTTCAAGTTACTTTTTTTTTGGGGGGGGGGGCGCTAGCAACTGCATAAGATCAAATGAGCGCGCGAGATACACTAAACATTTTCATTTTTGTCGGAAATTTGGAATGTGGTAGTGGCCGAAGCCTACTCTTACCGATTTTTGGACCACCAAGGGATCATTCACGTGCGCAACTTGCACACGGGACCTCCGAAATTGCTCGGCCTTGTCCAAGAAGGACATGTGTAGATCTTTCCTACCAGAAGATCAGGGGTGTGGCTGAAAGATTGCCGTAAGTAGGAGCCATGGAATAGCAGTAAAAAGGTTGCAGAAAGAGTCAGGAGCCCAGAGGAGGGGGCAAAGTAGGTTGGAAGGCAGGCGCAGAGAGTGGAGACGAAAGCAGACTACAGAAATCAAATGAGTGACAAACAAAAACTGAGACTTAATCACCTGTCTCCATGGTTCGCCAAGGTGACCTGTCATGCCTGTGAAGGGATTCCTCTGCGTGGACTCTAGCGCACTGTTTTGTCTCAATTCCGGAGTCGAGCCATTGAGACGGGACCACGCTGTACTGGGTCGAAGGTCAAGTTTTGACCTATGGCGGTTGGATATCCTGCCTAATTCCTCTTCAGCTTCGAACTCGTCGTGGCTGTGAGAATCGTCTTCCAAACACACGCAGTCCATGTCACAAGTAGCGTCTTGGTTAGCAGAAGTGTCCCAGTCTGATAGGACGAGAGATTTACGAGACTGGCAGCGATTGGCTGGCTGACTCGAAGAAGAACTGCTGTTTTCGAGTATTTTCACTGACGCACCCGAAGTTTTCGGCCGCCCTTCTAAGGAACTCACAAGATGTCTGGTTTTCAGGATAGAAGAGGTCCTCGGTCTCGATGCTTCTCTTCGTAATGGGGCTGTCGAAGAACGGCGTCGCGCTTCTGAAGGTGGATTGGTGTTTCCACAGCAACGCGTCGGAGGTCTTTGAGCCGAAGCGACATGGTCAACTGGGCTTTCTCGCCCTTTTACTGATCTCGAGTCAGGACCGGAAAGACAGTTGGCACCTTTTTCTGAACCTTTTGAGCTATCCTGGGAGTTATCAGAAAGACTCTTTAGACTGTTTCGTCGAGTGGTCTGAATTTTGGGTAAACTCTTTTGCCATGAGTTGATATCCTTTGTCCGTGCAGGAAAAGAGAGAAGGTGAAGGGGGGGGGGTGGAAGAAAGGCACACTATCAAATCATTGCTGCTAGTGAAAGTGCAACTCAGTTTTCTAAATAACATAGATAATATCTAAAACATGTGCTTAAGCTGTCATCATCCCCCTCCCCTCTCCTCTCCCCTCCCCATCCCGTCCCTCCACCCCTCCCCAAAAGAAGTAATAGGTTTACTTCATTTCGGGAAAAATAACATTAAAACGTCTTATTTGGAGGGTGCATGTTTGTGTAGATTCAATAACCTGCTTACTTTGTGAATGTGAATGTCTGTGTGTGTGTATGTGTATGTCTCTCTCTCTGTGT